TATTCGGGAGAGCACTCATATTAAATGCATCTATCTTTTTTTTTTTTTTTTTTTTTAAGCCCTTGTGGAACCTTCTCCATTCCGATGGTGGTAAGAGAACCACCAGAATCGAGGCTTATCTGCCGGGCTGCTCCATCTATTGGTGGGGAGCGTCACCTGCTGGAAAGCGGGTCCAGCGTCCCATTAATACATCATACAACACATAACATTGCGGTCGTTGTTCCCTAGGCTGTGCTTGTACCCTTGTGCCTCCGGGTCCCCGTTGTCCCATGGAGCTGCTAGTTTTCCCAATCCCGAATTGGTGCACCCCGTACGAATTTGGACAGCCTTATTCTGCAGCCCCCGTCTACCTCAACCCAATCTACAGTTGTTGAAAAGCCCTTATCCCTTGGGCCCTTAAACCCTTTCGCCTTATGGTATCACCCAGGATCCATGCTTGTCCTGAGCGCCGGCCTCCACTGCCAAGCATCTTCAGTAGCCCATCGTTATTTGTCTGGTCTTAGTCCAATTTTATTCGTTCTATTTTTCTTCTTCTTGTCCTTTTTACTTTTATGGCGAAAGGCTCTTTCTATTCTGGCGAGCGGCAGTCTGCTTCCTTTTCCACCGGCAAGTCGCAATCCAGGAATACAATTGCAAACCACGCCATGCTTTCCCCCACGTTACGGCCCGGGAAACCCATGACAGCTGGTTTACAATTGTATTCCATCGCGTGGTTTACAATTGTGAACAATTGTAAACCACGCCACGCTTGTCCCACATTACGGCCCGGCGAAATCGTGATAGCGTTGATTGCTTCACGCCGTGAAGGATTTACTTGCAACTAAGGGGCCTAACCCCATACGTGTCATCCCTCCCCACCCCCTATTACTTTGAACCCTGTCCAAAGAAACAGTATTTGGCATCAGGCCGTAAACGCCCGTCACCCGAGTCGAGTCCTCCCAAAAGCCGTACAACCCTTTAAACCACCAATGCATCCGGGCCTGGCAGCACTGCACTGCGCTGCGCGCCAAGCTTTGCGGGACCGCCAGCGGCACAATTTTTTTCCTTTTTAAGCTGGCGCCGCCAGCCATTGTGGTTCGGTAGGGCCGAACCTCCAAAAGTTTCGTAGGCGACGGTTGCATTTTCAGCAAGGCTGCGGCCGCGTACTGGCGGCTGTTAACCCCGATCATCATCCCGGTCTCGTCCTCCCACAAGCCCTACAACCTTTAAAGCTTAAACCCTAAACCCTTGGCTCAGGCAGTTGCAAATGCTGAACCTAATCATATCTAAGAGGGGCCTGTCTCAATCGATATAGCTAAAGATAAGGCAAGACCTGACTGGTATGGTAGGTTCAACGGAGTGGCCAGCGCAATGGGGTGGTACTTACACCTTCGAGGGAGCCCGATTTACCGTTCTCCAAAATGTTCTTTGTAATGGGTACCCGGGATTAAAAAAAAAAAAAAAGAAAAAAAAAAAGGATGACCTGTTTCTTAGTGGGGTCTTGTGCTTGATAAGTGTCCCAGAAATCCTTTGCCAGGCCATATAGTACTCCTCATCGACCGTCAGCAAGACAAAAAAAAAAAAGAAAAAAAAAAAGGGGCATCGACAACAGTCCTTCCCAAGCCTCTTCATTGACATTTTTTTGACGTTTCGAATCCTTACGGTCTGGGCGTCGGATCTGTCAGAATCGACTGGTGATCTTGTACCAGTACTTTTCTAAACCTCTGGTATTGCAGTATGGCCCCCTTGGTACACACGGAATTCCGATCTTTTCTTTTCTTTTTTCACCTTTCATTACCTACCTACCACTACTCTGAAGGCTA